AAGCCAATGAGATGGTCTGTTGTAATGACACAGTTTTGCATTGGCTAATAAAAACTTTTAATGATAGAGGAAATTAAATAAGCCAGAATTAGTACTTCAGAAGCTATATCATGCATTTTCCATGTTTACATTTCTAGGTAACTTACTAAAATGAAGCTCAACAACACTTGAATGTCTAACCTTCCTTTTATTTTCTTGTTAAATATATCTATTCTTTTTCTTAATTTTCTCTTTATTTTTCTCATTAACTGCATATATTCATGTATTACGTTTTTTCTTTTATTTTGCAACTGGAAATGTTTAGTGCTGGAAATAGAGGATTGATCACAGATCTAGAACCTTGATATGTGAATGAAATTGCAAACTGGTAATTGATTAGTTACCTTAAATTTGACCACCTTGATGCCATCTTGATTCGGGAATGAAAAGGAAAACTATGTTTCATCTTAGTACAAGACTTCTGTAAGATACAAGACTTCTGTTGTTAATTCAGTTTGATATAACATGGTTAGTTACTTAGATACAAGACTTCTGTTTTTAATTCAGTTTGCTATCTGTAAGATTTGTACTCATAAAATTTGAATGTCCTATGAAATATTGTTATAAATGTTGTGGTTACAGCTATAGGCCTCCATTAGCATAAAAATTCAAGGATTTTACAGGTAGCTACATTCTATTTGGCTTAGTATCCTTTATCTATATCACTGGACAAGTATAGAGCTAGGGGAATGTCTGCGTGAACTACTTTTTGGTGAGTTGTTTGTGTTAGCAAGATGAATTTCTATTTCTGGGGATGCTGTGCCGCTTAAATCATCAGGGGCTTCAGCAGGGGCCTCAACAGGGGCTTCGGCGGGGACTTCAGCAGGTACTTCAACAGGGACTTTAGCACCTCTAATTCGAACACCAGCATTGTGGCCTCCCTCTCTTATTTCAGTCTCCTTGGAAGGCATGCGCGTTCGGATCTCTATCATCAAAGATTTTTAACATTTCAAGGATTCTATCCCAGACTGAAATTTCAGTGTTGCGCAAGACATCCTTATGCTTGTACAGAAAATCAGAGACAAAGATGATAAGAGCTAATACTGCAGCAACCCCGGCGATGAGGAAAAGGCCCCAAAAGCTTCCAAGACCCAGACTACTAGAAGAAACCGAGGTACTTGAATCAGAACAACTGGTTTGTTTTGTGAACCATGCCTTTTCAATTTGCTTCATTCTA